AGTGTGCACTAATTCGAGTAATGCGGGTGACCGAATTCACCATTAAAGTACTTATTTTTTATCACAGTGACGTAACACAATGACATAATTGTCTATATGAGTGACTTTTAATAATCCCAATAAAGCCTATGAAACGCAAAGTGAAGATAACCCACAATGACTGTCGAAAGGGCGTTTGCGGAACAAAGGGAAGACACGGTAGAGATATCCAAAAATGTATGTGCAATAAAGATATCTTCTCCGGGCACATTATTATGATACGATTCGATATGTAGCGGCTTTAGCGGCCGCAAACGCATACGGATACGACAACGTAACGGCACGGAAAGCTGGAGCTGGGCGAAATATACGAGCGACTCGTGCACGGTCCTTCTCTCTTCCCCCGCACTCGCGCTTGCATGCTAAGAGCATACTACCCGCGAAGCCGGGCTCGTGCCACGAGCCTATAAGGGGGGTGTTTCGCTTTTACGCGAAAGTCGAAACCGTACCCACGCGCCTTAACCCGTATACGAGCGAGAATCGCGTTAGCAAGCCGCTTACCGGCAACTCGTGTTGCATTTGCGGAGCAAGGCAGGGCAGAGCGAGGCAGGGTAAGGCAAGGCAAGGCAAGGCAAGGCAAGGCAAGGCAAGGCAAGGCAAGGCAAGGCAAGGCAGCTCAGCACCGACGATAAATACAGGTTCACCGAGCGGCCTCCCTCCGGTTGGGCGTATTGAATTTTGCTCGTAGCAACATACGTTCGTGGTTTCTCGGCGGCATCGATACACACGCGCGGCAGTAAATTTGATCGAGCCAATGACGAGTTATTGGAATATCGCGGGATAGATATCGCATTCTCTCTCGTCTCCCTCCCCTATTTGCGTAATTAAATCCGCGCGCGCGTTGCGCATCGGAAATATTGTAAGTTGGTCTTTTGCCGTTATAGAATTTATTAATTTTAACTCCGCCCCGCGCGCGCTAAATTATCTCCTCCATTTCGTCGCCGGCAGTCGATAACGAATGGTCCCATAAAAACTAGTTTCCGACCACTGATTAGCGTTCCGTTTCTCGCGACGACGAGACGCTCGTTTAAGCCCTTATTACGCAACGATGTAATGAGAATGGTGGAGATTCATGGAAGTGATAGGAGGCTCCGCCGCGCGCGCGTGTAAAGATCGTAAGGACGTTAAGACGTTGAGAAAGAAAAAAATTGCGACATGCTAACACCGTCATGAGCGCGATAATGCCCGCTTAGAAATGATTACGCCGACGACCTAGCACGAGACATGTATACGCAAACCGTATGCGTGTAAAATACTCGAATTAAATGTACACGATATTAAATTTCGCATAGTTACGCGTGTCATAAAAACTGGGGCATGGGCTCGCTTTATGCGGATGTAAATGGAAGAAATTTTACATAAAAACTGAAAACTATTTAAAAAAAGAAACAGTGTTACGAGTAATTTATTCGTGGTGGAGGGTTTTTGTGCGCTAAGCTTACAAATAATTAAACTGAAATTCGTAACTGATTAATTCAGTAGTGCGATAAACGTTCGGGATAAATTGAAAAGAATAATTCTTAAAAAGCAGTCGTTATATTGTAAGCAATAAATTTTACTTTTGATACATTTGGATTAATATTTTCCATGACATTTGTCGCAATGTGGTCGTGAATCGAGTGGCGGGAGCGCAACCGCCAGTTTCCGACAATATTGTCATCGGAATGAGTTTCGATCGGGAGGGGAGAGAGAGGGAGTACGCATTTTAACGACTTTTGATATTGAATCTACGTCCAAAGCAATAAATATTATTTCGCTTGTTCATTACTCGGCAATATTTTGCGTGAATAAATGATTAACGTATATGGGAAATCCAATTCTTCTTCAATTTGCATTTAACGATCGATTTGCTTTGATGGACGCAACGGACGAAACGCAATTCGGATATACGCGTTTTTCGCCGTTGCGTCCATCTTCACTTGATTCCCGTTTTCATTAGGAGCCGCGTATTAATCTCACCGATAGTGATGCAGCCGTTGAATCGAGTTAGTCCCGCGCTCAGTTATACTACGATCCGGCGAAACAATTCGCTTATCAGGAGACGGCAACCGGAGGAGAGGGGGGAGGAGGGGAGGAAGAGGGTGGCCGGAGTAGAGACCGTCGCCGGTGCCGCGGTCCGCGTCGCATCACGACGAATCTATTCGGTTGTTACAGCTGTCGAAACTATGAAATTCAATGCGGCGAATTTGCATGCTAATCCGCGCGGCGTAAACCCAGCATCCGTGTACCTTGCGCCCGGATGTGTCTAAGTTGTAATTCAATAAAGACGGCAGTGCCGCCGGTTGTAACGCTGTGACTCGGTTAACTCGCGTTGCTAACGACTTTAACAACGCACACACGATCAATCTCCGGGTGCGAAAGCGCGCCTGTGCGTGTGTGCGTGGGTGCGTATGTCGTGCGCGCCTCTCCGCCCCTCTGTGCGTCTGACGAAAATTTTCAACTAGTAATGTTAGGCACTTGGAAACTATGCTGGAAATTGTTCCAGTGCGCCACGACGCCGTCGCTCGGATGAGCGGGCGAAACATCTCCTTGTCTAATGGTCCCGAAGAACAACGAGCGTTTTCAGCGCTATAAACTGCGAGCGTAACGATCCGTGATGTTAGAGTTGATGATTTACGCACGGACACCGATATATTATTCGTATCAATTATCGCAAAATCGTAATTATCGAGCGGAACAATTCGATAACATCGCTACTGATAAGTTTGAGCCATTTAAATACCATGTAATACCTCAATAATGTAATTTCGAAATCAATTAGAATCGGAAATCATCAGTACAAACACGGGATCACAATACTTCTCAAATTGTAAGCGATTAAAGCTAAGCCGATATTATTGCGGACAATCACATACGGTCCACTGCGGATGAGTGCCGATTTGTCGATTTCTACTTAGCTTAGGAGATATTAACTTTTATTTATTTCTTGCAAAGTTAATTTACTCTTTTACATGTGATACACTCAGCTGATATAATCCAGTTAATTATTAATAACAATTTTAATTCTTATGAATTTTTGTGAATCGTTTTTTTTCTTCAACGTTATTAAAATATCGCGCGACATTTGTAAAATATTACACACGGTGATACGTTGGTAGACAAAGTGAGTAAGTACACAGTTTCGTTTGCATGTTGATTCGTCTGGTTGCACGATATAATCAAAGTCATATGCTACGAGCTACGAAGTTTTGCACTTCTGCGGCCTCGGAATTGCTTGATCGATAGCCGCGTCGACGTCCAAGTCGAATTTCTCACGCGCGAATCGCGCGAATCCACCGGCGATTCGTATGCTCTGGAAACGAGGCAACGATTGCGATGATTCATCTATCACGCCACGCTCGTATTATAACTCCTATGCGGCACGATAAAGCTCATCCTGGTAGCGCGCCCTACATGGCATACCGACAGAATTCCATTTAACGTTAGAGATCTGGCGGAGGGAAAACATTGCCGTGACGCGCGCGGAGAAGTGAGATAGTCGGGACTGAATTATGCTTTCCACCACGGCAACGGGCGATAAGCAATTGTAAGAATTATAATAGCACCTAATAAATAAATTTAGATAACACACAATACTTCGGCGCGCATACGCGACTGGTATCCGAGAAGGGTCCATCGGCTATCTCCGAAAAATGAATGCCCCGCGTATTTTTCCTTTCGCGAGCCGCACCCGGGAACTAATAAATGAATTCGCGCGCCGTGATATTTCAGGACCGATACCGCGGAGCGCGGCCGACGTATCGCAAAAATAAGTTCTTTTCCGCAAATTAATTCCGCATGCGAGATATTTTTTTAAATATATACCGCGCACATACGAAATTTATAATTTAAGAGAGAACATGCTTCTCGCGTAATATAACCGATAAGGCACTATAAATTACAAATATCTTATCGTTATCTGATTTTACATCCGAATAAATTATATTTAATATAAAATTATATTTCTATTATAAATTTAAATAAAAGCGCTAACGATGTCGCAACTGTTTTCATATGCTCTTGGGAAAGTTAGAGAAACCTGATTTTCACACAAATGTTTAATGTTAATGTTCTTCTTATCATCGCGATAGACGCTTGAGAAAAGATTTAACGATCGATCTTAATACGTGACTCGATTAACAGTCTCGTCGTTTTTTTTTTTCCTATCTACGTCTTTCGAAGTTTCGGGACGGTTTTCTCACAAACTAAATTATTTCGGATTTTTATCACCGAGATAATATAAACCTCTTCGCGGGAAGACGCGTTCGTTCGAGGATCAGTCTGGCCGGTATCAAGCCCACGCAGAGCTTGCTCCGTGGAAATTCGAGATGGGATGACAGTAAAACGGCAATGAAATGTCTTTGAAATAAAAGCCAGGGGATACGCGCTCGGTGGCGGTTTACGAGTGAACGCGAGCGTATCGGAGACGCGTCCTCGTCATCGGCGATCTCGCCGTCCGGCCAATGTAATTTCCGAAGGCTTTGATCTTCGATTTTTCCAACGAGAGTCAGCGCGCGGGAGACTGCCACTGTTCGCCTTTTGTGCACACACGCCAGCTAGCGCCGCGAGTAATTTCGATCGCGTGTTCGGTCCATTATGGATGGAGCGCTGAGCGAGCGAGCGAGAGAGAAAGATGATGTTCCGCGAGATGGAAAAATTCTATTGAAGCTTGTCTGCTCTTGTGATAGAAGGGAGCGACGTCCTTCCGTAATCTCATATCATTTTCGGGACGAGGAAACTTTTCGTATGACTCGTTTATGTATCTCTCGAGCGATATTTTGTGTTATGATCGTGATCGCGATTACAATAGACACACACACACACACACACACACACACACACACACACACACACACACACACACACACACACCTCTACCGAATTTGAATTTACTGAGAAGGTCGAACGATAACAATACACAATATAAGAAATGTGTAGATATATGGTTTTTATAAATTTCGTTTCGGTTATTTGTCTCTCAAAATTGTCGATGCGACACAGTCTTGATCTGACGTTTGTTCTTAAAAGACAAAGAAGTGTTAACAGGTATTATAATATTATAATGTTAAATCTTATTATAAATCAACTAATTTAAATTTTTTATACAAATATCTCATTTCTTTTCATGAAGTTATTTTATGTGTTAAATACGTATCTATCGTATATTGGACATCGAACGGTTTCATCGAACAAAATTGACTTCTACCAGGAATTCTACTAGGAATTTAAATATTATACGTAATATTTAAGAACCATTTGATAATATAATATATTCTGGACGTCGTTGAACATCTGGACATTGAAGAAATACAATACTTACAATTATACAGGTAAAATATAGAATCTAATTATGTTTGTTCTAAATAAATATTTAAATTAAACGAAAGTTCAATATGAAAATCAGTATATGAAAATCAATTGTAAAATATATCTGTTCGAGATTTTTTTTTAAATAAGAATAAATATCTTTAATTTGGCAACACATAATAAGTTATATTTATTAATTTTTCGTTATTTTCGTATTAATTTCAAAATATAACATTTTTTTTATACATTATTATATATAAACAAATTTTTGTATATAAGAATTTCTACGCCTGCGTCTCTTCTATATATAATAATCTCTTTTTTTATAAAAAACAAAAATAATTTAAATCATCCAAATATATTTCTAACGTCTAATGTGCAAAAATCGTAATATATTAGACATTATTTACTTAATCTTTTTAAGATTTTAAAGAAGAAAATGCAATAATCAACATCTTCATAAAAATTATAATTTATTTTTATATATTTAATACTATATCTTTTATCATCATTTTATAATAATTATTTTTATATTGTTTTTTATTACAAATATACATAACATAATGCAATATATACAATAAAATTGAATAAAATATCTTTTTTCATTAAGGTATTGATCTTTAATAAATTTCAATTTCTATAAAGATTAAATATTGTTTAATAATAGATATACCATATGTATTGCACACAATGAGCTTTGTATTTGTAGTTATATTCACAGCTTTAATTATTTTTTATATTAAATTAGTCATTGTAAAATGTACAATGGGCACAATAGATTTTAAGTTATTAAGATAAAAGTTGTTTTAAAGAATGTATTATTAAGTGCATTGATTGCTTATAGGTACGATGACAGAAACATACGAAGAAAATAGGCCACATAGAGAGATGGACCATGTCATTTATCATTGCCGAACAACATGTGAAACAAAAGTAATCACCTATACATGGACTATTTCTAATTTTTGGGATGTATGTAAATTTTCTAACTCTTTAACATCCAGTAACATTGAAACGCTGCCTCTTAAAATTCTCATGAAAATTAGTAAGTGCAATAATGAATTAAAGTTCTTTATTATCAACGATTGTAAAATTGCGATTGGCATTTATGAATATAAAATTTTCATATATCAACAAAATGATAATGGTATGGTATTTAATTCCATGGGAATAATTGAAAAACATGAGCAATTTAATTCAAGAATTCCTTTGTGTACTCTGTACATCAGTTATCTTCAGAAAAATGAAAATTTGATTTTATACAATAATACGCTTACGGTACAATTTATATTCAAAAGACCTAAAATATTACATAACTTTATATGCTATAATACATTAGAAATGTTAATGGAAGAAGATATAAATGAGTTCTCACTTAATAATGAAAGCGATTCGTTCGTTACATTTATAATAGGTGACAATCGTATTTGCGCAAATAAATCATTATTATATACTAATAGCGAAGTCTTTAAAACTATGCTCAGCAGTGATGATATAGAAAAAAATAACGAAATAGAAATAAATGATGTATCATACGATATTTTTCAAATTTTATTATCTTTTTTAGAAAATCATGCTACTAAAACATATTTTTTAGAAACTATACGTTTTAATAACAATAATCCTACGAAAATATTGTGTGATATTCTTAAAGCAGCTCATACATATGATATAAAACATCTTAAATTGTTATGTGAAAAATTTATTATACAACTCACAACAAAAGATAATGCCGTGGAACACTTATACGTTGCACTTCAATGCAATGCAGTTTTTTTAAAAAAATTTTAAAGAAATACATCAAATTATATTTAGATTACTTTATACAGATTCCAGACTTTTTAAATATAACAAAAATGAATCCCAACTTATTATCTGAGATCTCAGAACAGGAAATAAATGTGGAAGAATGTGTTGAAGAGTGTAGTGAAATGTGGAAAAGTGTAGTGAATATGTCACAATAGATGAAATCCAATTGTCCAATTGTATTCAAATATAATATTCAAATATAATATTCAAATATAATATATATATATATATATATAAT